CAACATCGTCACACCGACCGGACACCGTCTGCCAGGATCAGCACGTCGTCTGCCGACGTCATACCTATCTTCCACCCTTTTTTTTATTCTTACTGTTATTTTTCTATCGCATAAATATACGCATGTTACCTCTAGTTGATGAAAACAATTGAGGTTAAGCATAGTAACGGTAGGAAACTCCAGAAAAGTCAAGATCGGAAAGAAGGAACTTTATGTTTTCACCACAATTACAGTTCAGACATGTGTTTTATTTACAGCTGGCTAAACTAATAATTGGTTATTCTGTCAAGACAATTAATCACACTCAAAATTATTCGGTGGGAATTTTGATTTTCTCAGTTTTATGGGAGAACACAGATACATGCCTCCCGAAATCCTGAAACTATTCGAAGACAATTAGCTTTCGGTGTTAGTAGCTTTTTTGGTGGATTTTATTTTTCATACAAAGCTAGCTTGGTTTGTACTGTTCGCTCAGAACAGTTCACAAATATCGGAGGTTTCAGATCTAGTTTTTGATGTCGTCGACTGTGAGTCTGCGCACCTTTGCTAATTTTGAAAAAAAGTGGATAATTATGAAAATGTTTTCGCTCCTGCGGTAGATGCTGTAAATCTACAAAATTTACTGTTATCACTGTGCATTTATAAACAGCGCATTAATCATGCTCATTTTCGAGTTCATCAATAAACGGCTGCACGGCGGTTCCTTTCACCCAGGCAGTAGGATGGAATCGATATCGGGGACGACCCTTCTTGTCAATCAAGAATTTTTCAAAATTCCAAGTGATGTCTCGAACACGGATGGGATCATACATCAGTTCATCACGTTTTCCAATTACTGGCACTGTCTGCGGGCAGTGTTCCTAGAATTTTTATAGAACTTAAAAAATCGTTGCTAAGAAAAAATTATTGCTAAAAATTATTGCCCTTCTTATAATGACAGAGTAATTTTGAGCTGTATAACATCGTTGAAAAATTATATATTAAGACATAAAGCAGGTTGGAGCCAGAGGCGTATGAAAATCAACCGAAAGTCAAAAAATTCACCCAAAGTGCAAATAATAGAGAAGTGGCACTTACTCAAAAAACACAATTTCAGTCATACTCGCCAAAACTGAATCTTACCAGTCACTGTCAAGAGCTGAATGCGCTACTTTTAAACCCTAGCAAACAGAGGCGTGCACCAGGGTAGCTGGTGCAGTCATGCTTCTAAATAGTTCTGTCTAGCGGATGCCTACTGCTAAAAGTGTTTGCTGCTTTGCTGTTTGATATTTACAGAAACCGTCGGAATGTTCTAGTCAACCAGAGTTTTCATGCGTCCGTAGGTGAAGACCTTGGCATACTTGGAAACTTAAGCTAAATTTTCGGAGTCGCACATAAGCAGGGAAGACCTTAATAAAATTTTAGCTTTCTGCCTTCTCTGAGTTGGGAAGTTTCCTGGTAAAAATTTCAATTTCCTGCTGTCTTTGTATGTAGGAGCTGATTGCAAAAGTTTCGGAATGGAATAAGAACACGCAACGGCTTTCTAAAGTCTTGCCTTCTTAGCTTTTCTGATTCCCGCGTTAGTAATTTTTCTGTCAAAACTTCGCATGTCCATAAGTGACACCTAGATGCAAATAAAAACTGAAGCTAAAAACTTTGGATCGTATATAGGCAAAAAACGCCCTCCAAAAAGTCTTTTTTCTAGCTTTCGTGGTTTCTGACTTTGTAATTTTCCCATTAAAATTTTGACGTGACCGTACTTAAGGCTCAGACGTAAGTGAAGGCTGAATTTAAATTTGCTGGGTCACACATGGAGAGGGAGCTTACTCTTATAATTTCTGATTCGTAGCTTTGCTGGTTCTTGATATGAAAACTCAGGTGAAAACGCATTCGGCCACACACACACACACACACACACACACAAACAAATAAGCGACAAAACACAAGCACACACAGGGCCGTGACAACAAGCGTTTTGTGCTGCAGTAGCTGCAACATAAAATGCATAAAAATAGAAGCTTCAAAGTTAAGGGAAATATTACCAGATAACTGTATTTTCAATAAGAAAAGGACCTTCAGAAATTCATAGAGCGGATGATTATTATCACCGTTCACTTCAAGTTTGCCAAAAATGTGCATGTTGTGATGCGGCTCCCAGCCGTGTCCCGGGCGCACGTATTTTAAACCATTTAACAGCTCGTGATTTTCCGCAGGCTCTTGCAAATGGAATTGATTGCATGGAAAAGCAAGGATTATAAGACTTCCATTCGAATTCTTTTCAAGCATTGGATTGAAATCATTGTACTGATGGGTATAGGCTAAAATTCGATAATTAACAATAGATGGAGTGTCAAACGCAGTGCTTTATTATGAGAGTAAACTCATACCGGTGTGCTCATTTCCATCCGACTGATAAAATACAGAAACAAGAAAAAACTTGGATTTTTGAACTTTATCCTTCACATCAAAAAAAGCTTGAAAAAATCAGTTCTAAGTCTTGGTCGTATGATCCAGACTATAACACAAATTCATTTTCAGACCTATTGCAGTGTGAAAAGAATGAGACTTTGATGCTGCTTAGTACTGAGATTTCGCCCTAATTAAAATTTTTCTGAAAACAAGGTTCCAATTTTTTGATTAAAGAATGTTGATTATTGGTTGTAGAATAGAACAAATTATAAGGAAAAAATTTTGCTAATTCAGCGGTTGGGAAAACGATTTGTGGTTTGGCAGGACGAACGTAAGCTACTGATCAAGCGATTGAGTGAAGGACTGATGACCAGATTGTGAAAGCCAGAACAGTGACTGAGCGAGACGCTTGGCTTGAGAGCTCTTGGCTATCCAGTCACTTTTCTTCTTTCATTTTTGCTCTCTTCTACCAACAAACATTCCACCAATGCTCTCGAATCCTTACAGCTTTGAACTTATTGAGATTCATCTGCCTTATACTAAAATGACCCTCCAGTTGAGAGTTTGTTGGCTGATTAATACTATTTTACAGTTCCGGTAGCGTCTTACCCTCCAGTTACAGGTTCTCATTTCCTAACCGTTAAAAGAGATTGGCCCTTTTGCGCATATCCCAAAGAATAATTTTTGAACTAAAAAGCATTTTAAGAACGTGCTCACCACAGTAAGTAGCGACATTGATAAGCAAAACAACTTTGTCGCGAAATTGGGCCAAATTGGTCTGCGAACCGTTTAAGGTTTCAACTTGAAAATCATAGATGGAATGCTCAGCCAGCTCACATTTTGTACGCCGCTGAGCCTGGTCTTCAACTTTTGGGCCTGCAAAATGGTAAATACTTTTATCAGAAAACAAAAACAGTGGATTCGATTGCAAATCCTTTCTTGAATTAAAAATCTAGAATTTATTTTATTCAGGAAAATTCAAGTGGGCGTTTCTGCATCCCATCACATTATTCAAAATGCTTGAAGAAATGAAGAAAATGCTTACTAATAGCGCACATCATGCCTTTATGTACTACAGAGAGTTCTACTATGTTGAGCAATACTGACAAGGTACAACATATAAATGATTATATAGAAAGGATAAAAAGCCAGTTTTTACAAGTACAGGACATCACTGAAATTAAATCTACTCGGTATTTTCTTGCATACTTTGCAGCTACTTTGACGTGGACAAATCAACTCTGCAACGAGAGAGGGTAAATGCATCAGAAAAAAACTAGCTGATTAGAGCCCCCTAACTTTATGCTTTCTACACTCAGGCGTGTAAATGCAAAATGAGTTATGGCACATTCCTGTGCTGTATGTTCGGCCACATCAAAGATGTTTGTAGCGAATAGCAATTTCGTCAAACAGTCAAGCTAGAAGCTAGAATTTATGAGAAAATTGTGTGCTTCCGTGCGTTCTTCGGTCTTACGTGCGCGCAAGTGGATATTTAGTTTGGAACACTGTTGGCGTCCAATTAACTCGATAACCAGACTGAGCACGAAACAGTATTTTTTTGCGGAGGTTTGCTGTTCATGTGCTAGCCACTATGCGTAAGATGAGTTTCTGCCTAGGCATAAGCCCCATGTGCAAGCTTATCAAATGCTCAAATTGCAGCACAGCATTCACATCCAGTAATACAGGCGTTTTCTCTTACAAGATGTAATCATGCAAAAATGCATAATCACACTGACAAACCTAATGCGCCGCTACTTGAGTTTTAATATTTACGATGAACTCAGCAAAGCAGATACAGTTTGCGGCTGCGTTCTCTGAACGCTCATTTCGTCAAAATGTAAATGACGGTAAATCCGGCATTTTGCTGATGATAAATTCGGTTTCGTCAACATCCATCTGGTCTCCGACAATGCCAGCAAAACTGCATTATCTTTTAGGCGGCATTCATGTCGTGGACATCGCATGGTGTTTTATCTGAGTTCCTCCAAAGTAAACAACTTACGGTTGTAAATGCATGCCACTAGAACTTTTTGCGACAAGACTTTTGACACCTGATAATATTACTGATTCCTCGCTGTTTGGTTGCCGGTTGGGAGCCGTAAACCGAGCCGAAGAGTGCACAATGCAGTGGAATTTTTCGCTTTTTTTGTTCCGTATTTGCTGATTTGGCTTTTTGCTGCTGGTCAGGCTGCTGTTAAACAGCAGCTTTAAGGGCCAACCAGACAAAATAAGATTTCTTATTTTCCAACACTGCTTGGTAAGCATTTCGAAAAGGTTTCTGAGCAAAAACTTGGGAGAAACGGGGCGGGCTGAAATGCCAGAATTTCAAGTCCAGCTCGTCTCGTCCTTCGCGATAAGACAACCCCGAATTTGAAGCTGGAAGAAGAGGATTTTGCATTATGTTATTTGATAAATCTTGACTTCTCAGTTGTGCTTTTCCTTACACTGTAAAATTAACGTGAGTCTGGAAAAAAAGTTTTAAACAAGGAGATATATAGAGGGATGAGAAGTGCCCGACAACTGGCCAAGAACCTTGAATAATCTTTTAGAAAGGCACATATAGGCACTTGCATGCATGGAATATGACCTCATCATAATGTAATTTTGATCCAACAAAAAACAGGCATCAAAGCTCAACGAAACAAATTTTACTGCTATACGAAAGAGCGTACCCCACTGCGCAGCAGTAAGTTGTAGCAATGCCAAAGTCGCCACGACCAGAAACATTTTGATAAACGAAAATTTCAAGCTGAAAAGTGCTCATTTAGAAGCAAATATTTTCAACAAAATTTTATTTCTGCTGAAAGGCTATCGTCAAATAATCCAGATGGGCACATTTGCAGAAAATGACATCTGACACGCAGGAAATCATATGTAACACAGAGAATAACAACTAACACAGTCGTTTTCAATCACTGACTTTTTGCTCACTGAAACAGGGAATGGGCTGAGCACTTCATGTTGAAAAAAAGTGAACAAATGTTATATACTGTACTGAGATTCGGAAAAATGCTGGCGTTTTCAGTTTATTCAGCAGCTTCAAGGATGCACACATCCTTCAATTTTGCCTGTCTGCGTGATCGTTGAACTGCTCTAGGTGGGCTAAGTGGGAGGAAAGCGAAAAACAAGAAATTGATTTGACAAGAGTTGGGTCATCAGTGATGGCGAATTCTTTTTAACGAATCAGTCTGAATAATACATGTGATTCATACACAGATGGCTCTTGTTGACTGCCTCATGAAATATTTAATTTAAAGGAACTGGTGAAATATTTTGTCGTTAAAGTTATCGATTTTTGTGTTCTAAAATTTCTCCTGCCAACTGAAAATAAATCAGTGAGTATTTAGAAATGTCAAAAAAAAAAAAAAA